CTCAGAAAATCTGCCTGCCCAGCTGTTAATTTTGCTTCCTCATCCCTTAGCGTCCCTGCCACATTCAAAATGGAGTGAAACAGGGCTTTGCTAATTGTGTTTGTAATTTATAGATATCTCTCTCTCTCTCTCTCTCTCTCTCTCTCTCTCTCTCTCTCTCTCTCCCTAAGCCCCAAAGAGGAGCTTGGCTAATTCTGACATCCAGTGTCCAATCTCAAGTCATTCACCTAGAACTTTCTCCCAATTCTTGTTGGCTGCTTGTCATGAAAGTACTAAGCTATCTATACTACTATTTAATGTTGCTGATTGAAAGTATTCTTTCTGGTAGACAGGGATGCGTTCTGCTGTTACTGCTCCTTGCCACAGGTAATGGAGACATTTGCCAACAACGTGTGGCAGTGGGAAGGGTAGAAAGAATATGTAGCCACATCAACCCCAAACCTGCAAGACAGTGACAGATCGGCTACACAGAAGAGCAAGATGTTCCATTTACTAAGGCTGACACACTTGGTTGTACTTTTTTAAAATAAAAAGGGAGTTACCTGCATGTTTCTAATACATTTTTTTTCTGCAAGAAAAACTAGTTGTCATTTGCCTCACTTCATAATTGAATACAGTGCACCCCACTCAGTTTTCACTAGTTTCTCTCCATGCAAGAAAGGGAAGCCTTCATTCTGCCCTTGATGTCTGGCACAGAAGAGGTTTTCATAACAAAAGTCTCTGCCGCTCTCATGGTTTTGCCAGCTGATCCCAACTTTCACTTAATAGGGAGGGCAGTAACTTCTGTACCAAGAGATTCTTTAGCCTTCCGGTCCATTTAAGTTTCTTTCTCTCCTTTATTAGTGAGAGAAATTTTTGGCATGTATATTATTCACCAAATTCGGTTAAAAATTATTTTCTACTTAACAAATGGAAAATTGGGTACATGCACAATTTTCGCATCGCTGTGTCGTTACCAGATTTTAGCTGCCCAGCCTAGGCCACCTGCCCACAGTGCAGGCCTACACTTGCAAACTGACTTGGACCCTTGAAGCAGGTGTTGAGATCATTTGAGTCCCAAACGCTTTTACTTGAAGTATGTTCAAGGGAGGCGGTTTTCTTTAAAACCTCCCCCAAATTGCTTTAGCCTTCACTATGTAAAATCAAAAGGTATTCTCTTGTAAGTGGTCATAGAAACTGCAGTTCTAAAGATTTAACAGTCTCCCTTACTAGCAGCTTCCTAAGGAATCATGGTATAAAGAGAATAAAAGCTCCGAATCGTTGACCAAAGGAGAGAAGATAGCCAAGATGAGAGAGGGAGACTATCAGAGCTGAATCAGCGTTTGGCTTGTGAAGCAAGCTCTCTCTGCCCATCTCTATCAATGGAGGCAGACCTCCCCCCAGAATAAGACTAACCATCCCAGCACATGTTTGTTGGGCTGGCTGCGAGTCTGAACCAAAGGCTAATGTCACTGAGACATCAAGGTGCAGAGGATCGGGGCTGGGGCTGCAGACATCACACTTCTAAACTATCTCAGTAATTCTATCTTCATTCAGCAAGCCTGAAGACTTTCCCCAGGAAATGCACATGATTTCTTAAGCTTTTCATTTTAATTGTCTTTGTTGTTGAAAATGACTTTTTTTTCAGAGTACCTATGCTTTTATCAAGTTACTGTGGGTAATTAAAGCTGTAAAACTGAATCTTGTGTAATTTATATAATTTGATCCAATTAGTAAATATTTACCGAATGTCCATTCAAGTGTAACCTTATGTGGGGAAACTTTTTTTAAATCACATCAGAAGATTATGATACCACTTTTGTCCTCATGGGCCTTACAATGTATTAGATTATAACTTGGAAACATCTCATTCTAGTCCAGATGTGCAAAGATTTACAAACATGTACCAACTCATCCAATTTTTTTCACCAGTTGGTTCCTTGTTTAATAATTTACTCAAGAAGCATTTGTTGAACTCTTGTTTGTGTAAGAGCCCACCGTAGGTGCTATCAAGCAGCATTACTTATGTGGCTATTGGTGAGAAAATAATATTCTCTTCATCAGTGGCAGGCTAATAGCATGGGTGTTTTAGTCCGAAGACCATTGTCTCAGTGAAGTTACAGAGATTGCTGCATTTGGGAGGAGCAGAGGAATGTAAGCTCAGCTGAGGACCAGAAGGGAGCATATTTCAAAACAAGTTAAGATGCACCACTTGGTTGTTTTTGGTTGACCCACTGGGCTGTTGGTTCTTAACAACAATATCAAGATCCCAGAATCGGGGCCAGGACTGCAGAGGTTTTCTGACCCTCTCCCAGTGATAAGGCAGCAAACGGGGACAGGGCTGGAGCTGCTCATGGGAGGAACATCACCCTCTGAGGTCCCAGGTCCCTGGTACATCATTGCAAGGTTAATTGCTGGTCTCTGTTTATAAGAGTTGTTCATGTAAAAGACTGATATTTAATTGCTTTTCATATTAGAAGTGGCTTTATTGCCATATTTGTTGTGCATGAATTTAAAAACTGAAATGCCAGTGTCTGTTGAATTGTTTAAAATGGCGACCATGGCACAAGGTGGGGAGCAGCCGGGGGTGGTCAGTGGGTCGCCCTGAGCTGGCCCCAGCAGCCTGGTGTTCAGGAGCAGATCCATCGTTCTCGTAGTAAGACTGCACGTGCCTGCAGAAACCAGGCCAGGAATAACCAGCTAAAGAAGCACATTAGCAAAAAAGTTAGTTTCTACTTTCTTTTCTTCCTGTGAATTCCGTTTCATTTCCCCCAGTCTTTACTAATTCCTGACACCAGCCTGGAAAGATACTAAGAGATAGGCTTCTTTAAGTGATAAAGTAGGTTCCAGAAAAGTCATTCGTTTGTCAGGATCCTTTCAAGGTGAAGAGGTTTGGAGACATTTTACGAAGTGATTGTATGTTTGGGTACTTACCCACCCACGAGTCTGAGGTTTTCCCATCACTAGCACTTATCTGAACTACCACAAACAACAGGTGGAGGCTGAGGAAGAGCTGAGTATTCCAGACCTTCACAAAGATTAGATTCTACAAACCTAGTGATCAGCTGTGGAGTACAACTGAGCACAGAGAGAGAGCCAAACTGAAAATTTTGCTTTATCTGTGGAAGCTTTGCCACAGATGTTTAGCCTGTAATCTACAAATGTGTTTAACATTTAAAATATTTATTTTGTTTTGTCTTTTCAGTAATGAATATCAGCTGTTTCATCAGATCAATATGAAGAATGATTAAAAATGTAAGGAAACAGAGCAAAGACATAAAACTATTGGATTGTCTTCCCTGTGTATTGAGAAGCTACTATTGTACTTGGAATTATGAAATAGACTGTTGAGTAGATTTTAATGGAAAAATAAAGTCCGAGCTTATTCCCTGAGATATAGATGGGAATGACAATAATGATAGC